AAAAAAAAAAATCCCAAAAACTGAGAGAAGCAGCATTGCTCATGAGGCTGTTTGGTGTGACGCACTCCCTGGCCCACCCACGATGAAGGAGGCGTGTTCAGCGCAGGGCACCCTGTGCTGCGGAGAGGAGGGCTCCCCAGGCTCCCCGTGGGGCTCAGCCACAGCGTGTCCCCCTCGCCCTACCCCACCACGGATGGCAGACCCCGACCAGCCCAGGGGATGGCCCCGCTGCCTTCCCATCTATGCTTTGGCTCTGGGAAAGGGGTACCCCACTTCAGCTCCCCCCAGCCCCGTTGGGGCAACGCACCGGCACCGGCACCGCCACCCGGCCCCCGCTGATCGAAAGGGAAAGGCAACAAAACAAAACCCATGGCACAAACGGAAAGGGGACCGCTGGGCACCGGCCCGAGGCCACCGAGAGGGAGTGAGCCGCTCCGCATCCCGGTGACGTTGTCCCCGCCGCGAGGCACGAGGCCCCGCGTGCGCTACAGCTCCGACTGCGAGCGGGAGATGCGCGGGCCCTTGCGGATCTCCTTCCGCTTCTCCTCCTTCTTCCTCCGCTTCTCCTCCTCCCTCAGTGCCTTCTGGAAGGTGTCGGCACTGGGGAAAAACTGCGGGGTGACAGCGGGGGGGTCAACATGGGGGAGCCCCCACAGGCTCCCAGAGGCACAACCCCCCCCCTCCCCCCCAAACCCACTGAAGCCAACATGCCAGCCCTGCGGTGCCAGGGGGCTTGAGATCGGATGTGGCACAAGGCAAACGGGGTCCCAACGTTCCCATGGGGCAGGTGCCACAGGAGGGGGGAGATGGCACCGGGTGCCCAAAGCTGACTGCAGCCCTGCCGGGGAATTCAACGTGCGTGTTCCAGCCACGCTTCCTCCGGTACTGGGGGTTTCTGTCCGTTTCCAACCAAGCCACGAGTTTCCTTCCCCAGCCAGCTGCCTGGAGCTGTGATGGGGAAGCCCACAGGGCAGTCTGGCGGCGTTGCCGTCTTACCTCAGAGTGGTCTGTTTTAAAGGGATTGCGGTAATCGGGTGATTTCTCACTGATTCCCAGCTCCTGAGCCATCTGCAGAGAGAAGTGGAGACCGCATCGGGGAGCCGTGCCTTCCACCCACACCCACCCTGTGACCAGGGTCCCCTCCTCCCCACCAGCCCCCTCCATGCTCTTCCCCCATCCCTCAGCCCAAGGACAATCCTTAGACATGGGGTATGCTCCCCTGTCCCCCTTTTACCCCCAAAACCTCACCCCCCAGCCCCAGCAGCAGAGAGGGGACACAGCAGGGAGGGACCAGGAGTCATACCAGCCCTAGGACCTGGGAGTGGGGTCCCTGCTCGAACACGCCCGTCAGGTTGCAGAAGCTGATACCCCAGCGGATGAGGCTGTTCCAGTTGGAATTGCGGTCAAAGTAGTGATGCACGATCTTGGGGAAGCGCAGGACGACGTCCCCGAAGAAGGCGGTGTTCTCCACCACGTGGGAGTACGCTGTGGGGACAGCCCCCAGCCCCATTGGCACATGTAGTGCCTGCGTCCCCACCAGGAGAGGGGGAGGCTGGGGGCAAACGGGTAGGCTCCCCAGTACAAACTAGTCAGTAATAGGGTCCCAGACAGACAGGGACAAGCCCAGTTCTGGTACAGGGTACACAGGGGTTTTGTACCTACCCCAGCACCACTCTCAGAAGGAACACTGGTGATGCACCAGCACCAGAGCACTAGAAAACGGAGGGGGGGTAAGGACTGGAGAGGACCTACCATCCTTTATCTTCTCGTCCTGAGGGAAAGGCCCGTCGGGAGGCACGTCAGCAGCGATGAGCACAGCTCGGGAGTCCTCCAGCACCTGCCAGAGCCCTCGGTTACCGGTTACTGCCCAGTCCTGACAGTCCTTCCCTGTACCCTGAGGGTGCTGCCCCAGCCACCCCGCTTTGAAGCCCCACAGCATCCTCCCTTCAGGTCCCAAAGCCCACCTGCCCACACAGTTCTTTGACCCCATGGAGGCCCCTCAGCCCTCCCTGCTTCTCCTGCCCACCCTCCCCAGTTCCATGGCACACTGAGCCCGGAGGGTGGCCCGCGCTGTGGCTCACTTTGAAGAGTCCCTTGAGCATGATGTCAATGATTTTGTACTGCTGGTTGACGTCATTGAGCTCAATCAGGTTCTTCAGCGCGTTCATCTGGTCCTTGCGCTTTACCTCAAACAGCTTCTTATCTGCACCGCTGTCAAGGGCGTCACTGGCACGCTCCCACCATGCTCCTGCTCACCCCCTCTGCCAGGCACCTGGCACCATCCCAGTCCTCCCAGTTCTCCACAGGGTGCCTGAGGGCCAGGAGGCAGCACCCAAGCTGGGATGAAACACGGGTTTCCAGCGCGTCCCTTTGCCCAGATACCCCAGCAAGCCCCTAAACAATGCTGGGTGCTCGTGGGGAGCTTTCTACTCACCAGCCCCTGCTCTGGCTGATGGGCTAGAGGATGAGCATGCAATCCCACCTTCCTCATATGTGTCTCCATGAGCACACATATTAAATATCTTTTCCTAATTTGCCTGTTTGCCAGGGGATGCTGCCATATGCTAGGAAAGGCTTGCCTTAGCCCACCTCCTGGTGGGCAACAAATGCCCGCGGCACAGAGGAGACTGAGTGCCGCAAGCCCAGGAGCCCTCTCCCATCATCCCAGCTGGTGACCCCAAAGCACTGAGACCCGCAGGTGTGCTCTGCCACCCGGCTGACCTCACCGCTCCCGAGAGCGGACTGGGAGACATGCTTGGCACCCAGCATGCTGGAGCAGAAATAAAAAGCACCATGCTTGGGAGAATGCCAGGCACCGCCGGAAAACCCTCCTCTGCTCTTGCACTGAGCCAGGCACTTGGGTAGCAAACCCAGGAGCTCGGCTAAAGCCCTTCTACAGAAGAGTAAAGAGGCAATTGCCCAGCGGTTCTGGGTCCTCTCTCTTCCACCCTGCTGTGCCCCTTTCCGTGGTCTCTGACCCTTTTCCTGCACACAGGGTCCCTCCAGCGTCAGCAGGCACGAATGCATACACAGGACACGAGGGGCAGGCTGCAGAGAAGGATACAGATTTCCAAGCCAGAGTCCACCCTCTGTTTTTCCAGGTCTGCAGAGCTGCCCCAGGACAGCAGCAGCGCCAGCAGAAAGGGGCAGAGGAAGAGAAAATCCATGTCAGCCGCCGTGGCCTGGAACAAAATGGACCAACAAAACCAATGACCAGTGAGGAGACTTACCAAACGGAGAAGTCACACGAGTTTCAGGACTGATGGCACATTGCCCTTGGCACCACGGCCCTTGCCCACCTCTCCCTTGTCCCCATGAGGGGCTTGAGGGAGACAGGGTCCAGAGCAGGGCCATGGGGCAATGCTGCAGCTGGCCTGCTCCCCCCTGTGAGGGAACCCCCTGCTCTCTACCTGCCTCCACTGACAGCTGGGCACCGGCTGGGCCCCCAGGGATCTGACTGGGCACTGGCTCAGCAGAAAAATTAAGTCCTACCCCTTCTCCCAAAAATAACAGATAGCTTTTTGCTGGGTTTGCGAGTTAGAGCAGCCCAGCGACCAAAGCAGCAGGGCCAAGCAGAGGAAGAGGAGGATCACCGAGGGGCTGAAGTCCACCTTTCCTTCAAGCACCAGGCTTGACCACCTCACTTCACCTCTTGGGGTGCTGGTACCTGGACCCTTCCCCTTGCTACAAGCCAGGCACCAGCTGTGGACCCCACGCCAAAAAGCAGCAGTTGGGTGACGCGGTGGTAACTGCATCCTCGCATCTCTCCCCAGGTGGAGCCTTAGGCTGTGCAGGGATGCGGTCGGCAGAGCTGCTCATGGCCACGAGGGTCCCTCAGACAGAGCCAACGTGCAAAAGAGAGGCTAGAGGAGAAGATCCTTAAGAACAAGGACTCTGGTCCCTGGGACAGCCTAGACCTCGAACAGGAGAGCAGTACTTTGGCCTCCACGCAGCAGGACGCAAGGCAGCCTGTCTGCAGGGACGAGGTTTCCGCAGAGCCAAGCAGTGGCCACCGGCAACTACGGAAGCAGCAGCAGCTCCTTCAGAGGCATCCCCCGAGCCACTTCCTGCTCCCAAGGGAAAGGCAGATGTGCAAGGCCACCAGAGCTGCCCTCACCCTGCCACCCCGCTCCCCTCCTGAGCCTGAGCTCGCCTGCCCGGCCGAGTCCCTCTCTGCGATGCCCTAACACTGGAACAGAAACAACTCGTTTTTCATTTTTTAAACAAATACAATTTGTTCAACCTCAGGCCCAGGAGTGAGGCAAAGCACGCAGCACTGGCAGCTCTCCCAGCCCTGCAAGGAGCAGCAGCAACTCCTGCTCCTGCCATGCACCTCCTGTCGAAGCTGAGGCAAGCATCCTCACACCCTCGGCAGGGGCAGGGAAACTGTCAGGCAAACACAAGAAACCTTCTGCATTATTTTGCTGTTGTGCTTTGTAAAAGGCAGCACCCCTGGAAAGTAACGGATCAGAGCAACTACAACCAGCATTACAGAGGAAGACATGGCCGCCCCCGGCATGGGCTCAGCATCATGCCCCATGTTTCGGCTGCAACGCAGAGCCAGGAGGGCAGCACAAGCCTCCCACACCAGGCCTGGGGTCTGTCTCCCTCTGTCCGCTGCGGCGTGAGGTTTAATGCATATTCCAGCCACCCTGAAGGCCACAAAACATGCCGACAAGCTGAGGCTGCAAGGAAAAATTCTCCAGGCCAGGCAAGCAGATGCTCTGCCGGACCCACCAGCCTGGTCAGCCTCCAAGAGACTGCTTCACCCTGCCAAAAATCACAACCCAAGGGCCCAAGGCATGGCTCAGCGAGGAGGTGCGGGTCCATCCTCTACAAAGCCCCCCACCACTGCTCACTCCCTCCCAAGTTCTTGGGGAGGAGGAAGAGCAGCAACCTAAAAGCAGAAATTGTGACTGCCCTTGGACCCAGGGTCCTGTTTGCTCCTCGGATCGGACACACAGCCCTAAGGACCAGGCGGGCGCTCTCGGAGAGAGACCCTGGAGGCAGCCAGTGGCCTCTAGAGGCCACTCCAAGGAGGAAGACATTGAGCTGCAAAAAAACCCGCTCAGGCAGCAGCAGAGAGAAGTGTGGCTCTTGGCTGAAGTGGCTGCTGGACAGCTGGTTGCTGCAGAGAGCCCACCAGCCTGCCTGGCTGCCCCTGAGTCTCAAAACAGAGATGGGCTTTTCCAGAGACAGGATAGCAGATACTGCGGTATAGATGGTTAGTGTTTTCAATGAAAATGATTTTCATGACTTTACAAATCCTCCTGCAGCAGCCCTGTAGATTGTACCATGGGACAAGGTCAGAAGAGGAGGACTGGAGAACCATGCCATACCAGAAGCCCATCACCTTTTTGTCTGACCCCTTCCCTGCTGACACTCATTCTCACATCGAAGCTATTGACCACTATAGCCCATCAGGGCTGAAACACCCCAGTGAAAA